ACGGAACTTCAAGAACATGCTGTATACAGTAAGATTCGACTTGACAAGATGAACACAAATCTGCTTTCTGATTTCGAAAATGTTCATTCTAAAGAAAGTTACGGCTAGTAAAACTTGGAACAGCTTAATTTTTCCAGAGTTTATCAGCTCTTCTATCTCTTTTGAAAGGGAGTCTTCGGCTGCTGTTTAGCGCACGATAATCTAGTGAAAGAGTACTATCGAACGGTGCCCATGGCAGTCTCCTATGTGTGATGCTTGTTGCGTTACACCCACGCGAAGAGGCGTCGGCATGCAAATTCAAGATTATTGAAAACAAGATATTGGAGACAATCGTATATCAAAAGATTTGCCTTGACGAGATGAATACAACGTTGTTTTCGGATTTTGAATATACTCATTCGGAAAAAAGTTATGGCCCTGCGTAAATTTCGTGATTCACATGAATTTCGCGGAATTCCCGGAAATTTTGCATGTTCTGTGAGTTGTTTTGTACTTTAAGAGATAGAGCGATGAAAACTCACACAGCGTTTTCTAAAGTACATTTCTTATTGTATATCAAAAATGATCCAATTTTGTGTCGTCAGTGATAAATGGTAAAATGATGATATCAACGACAACGACAGATAAGAATGGCTTAAATTCATGCGGTCGATTTCCACGTTCATCTTCCATATAGGTACAAAATTTCAGCCCAGGCTTCGGCGTGAAGCGAGTTGAAGCAAAAATGCCATTCTAGGTAAGAATTGGCAGCAATGGCATGTGCCGATGAAAAATCGATCGATTGCTGCAGCGAGGGATCTACCAATTGAGCAATAGAACTAGAAAAGCCTGTAGATCACTTATAATGAGAGAAAGAGCGATAGAAATTTACACAGCTTTTCCTACAGTACTTTCTTTACCATATGCAAAAAATGATCCAAAAATGTGTTATTATCAGTGATAAATGATAAAATGCTTATATCAGCGATAAGGGTAGATAAAAACTGCCCAATTTTTCGCGATAGTTTTCGATAACGAGAGCTTCGTACCAGAACCTCCTATACGCGATTAACACTGTGATAAATGTTCACAAAAGCCTTAACGTAGAAAACAACAAGTTATCATTGTATGTCTACCCCGTCACTATGAACTACGGACATACCGTATATCAAAAGATTCGTCTCATCAAGCTGAAGCCAAATCTTCACTCAGATTACAAATAAAGCTATTTAAAAAAAAGTTATAGCTAAATCCCGCTTATCCCGCAAATCCCGCGAATCCCGCAAATCCCGCGAAGTCGCGAATCCCGCGAATCCCGCGAATCCCGACAATCCCGCGAATCCCGACAATCCCGCAGTTTTGGACAAATTCCACCGCTGCAACTGTATATCCACAATTTTTTTAATCTGCCTTTGAGCTGTATACAAATACTTCTGGGCACTTCCGGCCATCGCAGAACTTTTTCACTTGGTCACGCTTTAGCTTTGAAGGTATCATAGTAAAGGCCGCTAGACCAGCGCAATCATTTTCGTAAACAATCGGATAAGTTTGATAATGAAGTCCGTTCCAAGTGTCCTATTTTCTCAACTCTAATGGGAAAGTAACACTTCCAGATCATGCTAGAAAGTCGGATGGATAGCATGTGACACTTTTTCATGAAAACGATTAGATCCAACAGTAGTGGAAGATTCTGTAAGAAGAATTTTTTGAGTGAAGACTCAGTTTCTGCAATATTTTTGCTCTGTGTTTTAGCTGATTTCTATGATACTGAAGCGGAAACAAAGACAAAAAATGCAGTGAGTTTGGGATTTCGAAAAATATTCCATTATGAGATTTATGTCAGATGGATTTCACGTTTAAAAGGGCTTGGGGTAGGGAAGACCGGACCCTGCAACTACACAACTACAACGTTAATTTTTAGAGTAAGCTTATCGTGCAGCCTTCAAATTGCTTTTTTTCTGATTTCGCTGTGCTGCATAACCTATTTAGATGCTTCATTCTTTGGTATGGAGCCAGCAGGGCCAAATCTGGCATAGTGCCAAATTTCTTGAACTTGCCAAAAGGTCAGGTTATTTTAGAAGTAATCGTATGTAAAGTCCCTCTACCCCCCCCCTCTCCCCCCTCTTTCCCCCCCCCCCCTCCAGATCTTATCTCCTACAGTATACTAGACGCCGAGATGCGAGACCTCACACCTAGCCGTAGGTATTCACACTTTGCACCTCGGAATTGCTCATCGTATGAAAAGTCACTCACCCAATTTCTGGAGGCAGAAGATAGGTTTTTTGATGATTGATTTTTTATCACTACTTCGTCCAAGAATCTACAGTTTTCAAATTTGATCTGTCACGTAATTTATTGACACATGGCATCTTGTAAGCCCTACTATTAGGTTGGCAAGAAAGTTCTCGGACATTTTCGGGCTAAAACTGCTATTTCTCGAAACCTAATGCGTGTACACCGCGAGAGAAAAACTATGCGATAGAGCAAAGCAAGCTCTACAAGATGGTATGCAAAAGTTCGCACCAGCTTCGACCCACCGTAAGTTTGCACCCAAAATCTGAGTTGTACTGAAATTCAAAAAACCGTAAATTTTTAGCTTTCCGCAAGCCCTAGTTTTTGAAAAATTTTGATTTTAGCATGGAACATCCAACTGAGGAGAACTCATTTCGGTAATTTTTGGAAACTATAGCCTGTAGAAAGCTAAAAATTTACGGTTATCCTTCTATGGGGGTGTACTATGCAGTTACACGTGTGAGAACAGCGTAGCTTCGTTTTTGCGCAAGCATGGAACCCCTTGTTTTCTCGATTTTTAGATGAGGAGAAAATACAGGAACGGTACATGTGAGTGTCTTATATGGTGTGCTACTTGTGAGCAAGCTGGAGATCCGTAGGATTCGTTTGAACAAAGATACGAATATTACGCAATTTTTTGAATTTCAGCACCACACAGATTTTGGGTGCAAACTTGCGGTGGGTCGAAGCTGGTGCAAACTTTTGCATACCACCTTGTAGAGCTTGCTTTGCTCTATAGAATGGTATCTTTCTCGGGTGCACGTGCTTTAGATTTCGAGAAATAGCAGTTTAGTCTGAAAATGTCCGAGAACTTTCTTTCCAACCTAATAGTATGAGTCGATGCTACTGTCCATTGACAACTAAACTCAATAGGCAGGCTAAAGCTATACTTGGATCATAATGAAAAAATTAGTTAGAAAACATGCCTTGCAAAGAAGATTTCTCATTGTTCTATCTCGTTGCCTTACACTAGTACTCTTCACCACTCAATAAGAGCATTAGAATCTCGAGTGAACAAAATAACGACTATTTGATCTTTCAACAAACGAAATTTTCAGGTCGTCATCAGTCCTTTTGCTCTTTGGGCAAAGCAGTTATGTTAGCGCTCATAAAATTCATTCGAAAGAAGCCTAGTATACCTCATGGCCTTTTAATCTGCCTATAAGGGTCTGCGACACCGACAAAGTTCCCGAACATTTGCGAGACCTGGACCCTAGATGACTCGCGCAGTAAACAGTGGTAGAGTGCGCAGTGTCTAGAATGTTCCTCTGCAGATTATAACGCACATGGTCGGCCCAGAGAGTGGCTATGATTGTTCACAACACACTGATTGGTCAACGGGGCATTTTGCATTTCTTTGCATTTTACATTTTTTCTCAGGAACTTTATACCCACTGCACTAAATCGCCCCATTTACGTTCAGTCGGCACTGCATTTCCCACAATGCTTCTCGTACTTCTCGTAATTATGTACCTTATTTTACAGATACGTGCACATCATTTGCTAGCCTCGAATTAAACGTTTGAATGCCTTGGAACTCCGCAAAAAGATAAAAAATAAGAGTTGAAATCAGTTGGTAGCATGTGGAAACAACGTAGATTACCGATATATTAGGTTGACCCGAAAGTTTTGCCGGTCTTTTCAAACGACTGTAAAACTGGGTATAATAAAGATCTAAATGATCTTCAACATATACATGCACCTTTTTGTTTCTCTTTCATATGTTTATGGTTGAATTTTGGACTCAAAATCTAGTATAAGCATGAATATTGACAAAGCTCTTCAACCATCATTTTTATCTGTTCAAAGTTCGGCTAATTTTTGAAAATTCACTCCAAAGTTTAGGAAAGAATTCAGTATGTTTTGAATAGAGCAAATCTCGGAGTATACGGTGGTGTTTTTAGATTTCCCTTTCTGCTGAGTTTAGCTCTGATAAGTTATTTTTCGAAGATCTCGGCTCTTGTTAGAGCCATGAAATACGCAACTCCAGCAAAAACATGAAAGCTCATAAACTGCGAATCGAAACTCGATTATTTCTGAACATATCTAATCTGTGCAGCATAATCAGGCATAATTGAAATATAGCTATAAGAAAAATGATAAAAATCTGAATTGTACGATACCCAAGCCGTACATCAATCAGTATCCTGTGAATTTTAGTGACCGATCAAAAAAACCGACAAAATTTTCAGGACCACCTACGTATTATTATGCTCTGCACCCCAATTTGGCATATAGCTCATTTTGGAATATATTCTGCTTTTCGCTTTGATAATCTCTAATAGGAAATAATGAAGTGTACACTAACAGTATGTAAGCCCCTTTATTGTTCTCTCACCCAGAAGTTAACTGCTCAGACGAAATTGCAGCACTAGAACTATCAAGTTGTCGCTCATGGAATTTGACTGGATTTTTCTAGTCTACTATTGTGGGAAAACGAACAAACTGCAAAAGCTTTCAGGGCTTTAGATAATCCAGATCTACTTTGTGTGTGCCTGGGTTTCTCGAGAAGAGAGTGAATAGCGTTGAAAAAGATCAACCGTTGCTTCTGATCCGATTCTGGCTTCTTTTTGTGCATAATTCATAGCTTGTTGGTCAGAAAGGAAATCTTGTTCTAATGTGCCAATTTTATTAGTAATATAATCTCTACCTCTACCTTTTTTTCATGTTCAACCAGTCCTTTAGTAAAGTCTTGAGGTTTTTCAGAAAAAGTTTTGGAAAATACCCACATGGAAATTTGGCAAATACCTCGCCTAATGAATCGTCTAATGTACGATCACATTCGCGATAAAGATCGCAGCATATATCCTTACTGGAGAGTCACAAATTATTCTTTGCTCCATGTTGAAAATGAAACAGAGCAGGTGAGATGGTTTTCTTACACAAATTTAGAATTGCGAAAGAATTTTGCAGTACTAATTTTGCTGTTCAATCCCTGAGAATTTGTGCATTTAGGTGACAGAGAGCAGGCCATTAATGGAAAGCAAAGGGAAGCTTAACGAAGTTTTTAGCACAGGTGAGTGCTTAATCTCACTCTGGAGTAACTGTATGAGCTTGTTCTTTTAGATCACTCGGTCGAAGATAGAGCTCTCCATAAATTGTTTTCCTGGGGCAAGAAAATTCATAACTCAGCAACGAGGGCCATTTCCGCACTAAGGCATCAAAGAAGCACTAGAGACGACTCCAAAGAGGATATAGTCCCATAGATGCTGATTATTAGTTGTGGATTGCACAAGCCTTTTACTTTTGCATGGTCTCATGTTGCTGGTACTCTTTTCCTCATGGTTGCAATTTGTTTCTGATGTATATACTGTTGTTCGTACTTTTGCGTATGTGCATGATCGAATAAACTAATTTGCAATGTTTCTACCCCCTACGCACCAGCTGTAGTGCTCTAAATTACCCACAATTGTGTGAATAACAATCACATATCTGTCACCTCTCAGCGCTCTAGGTTTTCTCAAAAGCTCGTAATCATGCATTCAAAAACACAGTAACAACGCAAGAAGGAATTCAAAAAATAATGCATCGAGTTGGATAACTGAAACACAAATATATCCTTTTCTGTGCGAATAGCGGCAATGAATTTGCATCAATCTGCCGATCTTGTTTGAAGGGTTTATACCTGACTATGGTCACTTACCCTTTCTCACAATCGCAGGAATCCTTCCAAAATGAGAGTAGTTTAGAATATCATACTTTTTTCTCGGTGTCTCGAATGGCATGTACATTGTTGTTCCGGCCGCTAGGGAGTAACAAGTAAAAATGAGAGCGAAGACAAAATTAATGGCTTGAAATTCTGTATAGTTGTAGGGCAGTCCTAAGAAATGTTTTTTAATCAAATTGCGCGAATCGAATCTTTTCATTTTGCTTTACCTTGGGACTGTGCTAGACTTGAAGACAGTCACAGCAACTATGCTTAACTTGAATCTATACAGTTGTACCGGTGGAATCCAGCCAAAATTTCGGGACTTATTTTGTTATGATTTCTTCCAAAACAACTTTATTTGGAATCTGCAAGAAGATTTGGCTTTCACGATGAGACGAATCTTTTAGTATACTTTTAGTATACTTATCTAGTACACTGCCCGTTTTCCAAGATGCATTATGTTGTATTGGCATGTGTTGTGAGATTATCAACATGTATTGTTGTTCATATGAACAAATTTTGAAAATAACGAAATAGTATCACAAGTCTACGTATCCCCCTGGACTACGGGCATATATTGTATACTAAAAGATTCGCCTCATCCCGATGGGTCGTAAGATCCCTGAAGCTCTAGCTTTGCCAGTATACAATGGAATTCTACGGGGTTCTGGCACATGACTGGGGACACCTTGGCGAAATTTGCGCCAGAGTGGTCCTGATTCGGGACACCGTAATGTAATGCTACGGTAGTTATACCGTAGATAGAGGTAAGGCACAGAATTTAACTCAAATTTTTCGCAGAGTGGTGCTGTTTTAGAAAATTCAAGTTTACATGCACGAGAAATACAGGTAGGGCCGAGACTGGTGTCAGCCCAACAAAAATCATCGATTTTATTGATTTTTCGCATGGTTCATCCCAGGGCTCAAACCTTACATATATAGGTTCTTTAGCATGCTGATTACGAAAGTGATAGTCTCGAGTTCTAATACCGTCTTCTTGCATCAGTTTTTTGATTCTTACGAAAATTCCACTGTACTGCTACCGTAATCCCACTGTGGGAAAGTAGTGAACAAAGTGGACACTATAATCGTAATCAGCACGTCAAATTACCCCAAAACACAACTTTTCATGAAAATCCATGATATTTGTTTCGTACCGAATGACTACCGTAACCTTACCATATACTGCCAAAAACTGAAATAAATCATATTTTGGTAAACAGCGCCTTCAATAACCCTTGTGGGAAAATTATCGCAAACATAATTTGAATTTCTTTCAAAAAGACTACCATTTCGGACATAGGACCCACGGGTGGGTCGTAAGTTTGACAAAGCAAAAAGGCTCTGGTCCGAAACGGCAGTAATCGAAAAATTGGTCTTGTCGTGAATGTGTTAAACACGTTGTATATCATCGGAATCGCCCTAAAACACTACTTCAAATATATGTTCATTATCAGCCAAACGACCATCTAAATGGAGTTATGAGTAAATATCAGAATTTATCAAGTTTCGACGAATATATGTTCTTCGAAGGTAGTCCGATGGCGCGGATTTACAAGGCTATTGTTAATTCAGTTACAGGAAAGGAGCACATTCTTTGAAAATTTGGATAAGTGTTTTGGAAGTTTCGTAAGAAATGCGCCACAGAACACCTAGCAGATCGCATATTCAAACGCTCATGATTCCTTCTAGGCAGTCGCTGGCAGAAAATAAACATATTTTTGTTGTCAGCGTTCAAAGCTATTCCGTTGATTTGTAGCATGTTTGGATTTGGCTGGGTTAAGGTCTGACCATTCCCTGCTTAGTATGGTTATATGGTATATTTGCTCAATAAAATTTATGGAACAATTAGTCCCTTGCTGATTGTAACTCGCTTCATTATTCATCATGTTGTAGACTCACTTGATATATGTTGACGCTCAATCCACTACTCATACTTTCCATTTGCCACCTACTAGCAATGATTTTGGGCCATTTGCGTGCACTCTCGGGCAATGCGAGTAAGAGACACCGGTTCTTCCGATACTTATCAAAAACCTAGATACACCATCTGATCTGCTCCACAGACATGTAAAGAGTTATTTCAAGATCAGCGAGTCCTAAACTCCCACCACTACGGTTAACAGTTTGGAATTTGCTGAACTTATAGCTGATTTGATATGAGATATTGGTTGATATTAATACTGAAATCATAGTAATGAACGATGGATAAATCGTTTGTACTGCGAATCTAAAATGAAGACAACCGTAGAATATAAGATCTGCAGAATCTTTTCAGACGAGTGAGTTAAAAGTGAATCTCTGCTAGATTTGTCCGACAGTAAAACTAATTGTGAGGAATGTTTATTCTGATTATAAAAATTTGACGAGACCTAGAAAACATCAGGAAAGTTTCTTGCTTGTGCTGACTCGGTCATCCTTACGCGATTTCGGTTGCGCGACTTCGCGCTGCTAAGAAGATTCATAATTCTTTGTACGCATACATTCGATGAGTAAGGTTCCGCACCTTACATTAAGTTATTGTTAGAAAAACTTTGTCTGTGCATATGAGGTCTGCGCACCATGGATGGACAACTACTAAGTCTTCAGCGATAATAACCTTTTGCAATCGCGCAAGGTATAACCACAAGACGGTCAAGAGGCGCAATTTCTTTGGCTGGCACCAACTTAAAGGTCCATTACTGTGCTAAGCAAATCTTTGATAGTTGCGATAAAGTGATTGAGCTCATTAGCTGTTCAAAGCTACCGTTTGCTAAGTTTCACGTCTTTTGCTGCAAGATTGGGCGAAATAATTGCGAGGGTTTTGCTAATTGCATTTTTGGATGATTTGACCTCCATCATTGATGTTTCTAAATTTTCTGTTAAGCTCACGAGTTTTTATGCAACGATCAGTTGTATCTATCCAGAAATTCGATATGTCTCTGAACGTCAGAAAACTTCAAATATGTACAATCTGACGTCCAGCTGGCAATAAAAATCGCGCCTCTTAACATATACCCGGTATAACCGAAGTCTTAGCGACTTGGCGGGCGATATCGCCACTATTGCAATGCTGTTATGGAAACACAACAATTTATGGATAGCGTTTTTATACATACCCAACATTCCTGCAGTGATGCAAAGTACTTTAGCAGCTCCTGTCTACACAGACTACCATCCTTTGCAGGGCCTCCTATCTGCAGAATTGCCCTTCATTGTTGAAATAGTGCACAGAAAGGGCACTACTTTTAATAGCTGATAATTTTGAATTAATATGATAAATGGATTAGACTTCAACGTATTAGATAAACAATACAATATGATGATAAATGAGAGTCACAGCCAGAGAGTATTAGTGGTTTCTCCGCTTCAGGTGTTATTGGACAAATATGTCATAAAAGCAACACTAAGCCTTTTTGTCCTTGTTATCTTCAGAGATGGTTTACAAACGCGTATTATGCATAGCTGCTGTAAGTTGATTTGTTGACCAAGATTTCTGACATCATATCACCTCACTTGCAGTTGTTCACTGTTATAATGTCTTCGGCACTATTACCCCTTTACTTCCGTCTCTCCCATGAGGCTCAGGTTATATTGCTGGATTTCTTCATCGAGAAGACCAATGTGCTTTTTACGGTCAGTCGTGTCTTCTTGAACGACACTTCAAGCAAAACACGTTCGTTCTCGAAATGTTTTACCAAAGATTTACCATTAACGGAACCTCTTCTTCAGTATAACGAGAATTTGGAGAAGGAAGCCTTTTATTATGCCAAGAACAGATTCCATATTGTCCCCCCAACCAAAGTCCACGAAATTGCATTCTTCAAGTAATTTCTCCTTATTCTCAAATGCATAATCTGATTCATACGTAATTTTTTTTGCTTCAGCCACACTGGTAAACCTGTGGATGATGTGTTCATTGCTCAGAGTGTCATTGGATTTTGGCAAAATGAGACATTCCACTTCGGAACTGACTGGCAGGTAAGGCAAGAGTAAATTCTTAAAGACAGCGTCCAGGCAAATCTGAAGCTACGAGGATTTTATGTGGAAAGTAATCTTGGGGCCCTAACTAGGACACTGCTTAACTGGCAGTTCAGATGGTGCTCTAACAGCTGAGATATTCGCCTCCAAATGGTCCCCAGGATGGTATTTCGCATGGATTCACGGCGCTACACATCATTTTCGCGTGGGTCCTCGCGCAAGAGCATGCAAGCACCATGCTAGATCGTTCGATAATACAATCCTGGGGTCCAGTTTGGAGGCGTATATCTCAGTCGTTAGTGAGTCATTTGCGCTGCCGCTTGGGCCGTGCCTGCTTAGGGCCACAAAATTACTTTCACGTAAAGTCCCCATAGGTCCAGATTTGCCTGGACGCTGCCTTTAATGGTGGCGGCTTGCGTATCATAACATCTATAAAGCTCAGTAACTTTCTTTTACATCCAGGTGTGTCTACATTTTCCTCCGTTGTCAAAAGAGATCGCAACATTTGGAAACTAGTTCTAGAGCTAGAAACTTTTGGAGTTTCTCCATGTTTATTTTTACATTCAATCATATTTTCTCATCTCCACTAGTACAACCAACTGTAGGAACAATATACTGTACTCATTTGTAACTCACAAGGGAATGATCAGATCGAAGTGGCCAATCCAGACAAGCTGCATACCATTAGATGCAGCATGAAATGCTGACTCTAAATCTGTCTTCCTCACCTGCTTATCGCTTTTCTAGACGAAACTATACGCCACTAAAGACCATTATTTTTCTACGAAATTATGCGTGAAATTGAAAATTTAGTCGCACAGAGCCACGTTCGCCTCAATGCTGGGCCAAAACATGCAGCTAGCTTACTTAAAATTTTTAAAGGCAGAAGCTGAGCTAAAAGTGCAACAATGTGCTCAATTTTGCTGCTTTTATGTGTTATTTTTTCACAATAAAACCTCTTGTAGCTTCGTCCACAGAAGCGATAAGCAGATAAGGAAGACAGATTCGAAGTCAGCGTTTTATACTGCATCGAATGTTATACAGCTTGTTCGTTTTGGCCACTTCAACTTCTGATCATTCCCTTGTCAATATGAGGAGTTGCATACTACGCGCGGCAATCGATGAGACCTTCATAATTAGTAAAATATTTTTTAAAATAAAGAACTCTAGAAATTTGCTAACTAATAACTAACTGCTCTACTAACTAATACATACCTACTTAAGCACAAAAGAACATGGAAAAATCATTTGAATGAGCTCCTAATCTTACAAGTCGTTATGTAATGCGCAATACACATATCAGGTTACAAATGACTCGAGAATACGCATGATTCTGTAGCGATTTAGTTTCTTCCTTTTTGGATGTTATTCAAGAATACATCAGTACGCTTCTATTTTGCATAGTGGTTATGTCCATCGTTAACTAACATTACGCTATCGGTACATCACTATCACTTCATTCACGACCCCTTCCCGCTCTGACCACTCAATACGGAGCCCAGGGGTGGCGTGCCACACCTCGCGCTTAACTCTGGTTATCACTTAGGACAGTATGCATTGACACCCCCTCCGGGGAATAGATACCCAGCACAAAGGCTTCATATTCTAAAGCTCCAGTTACCTGGATTTCACACTGTCTATCCACCCATCAGTATTCTCAATCCTTCTACAAACATTTTGAACAGGAGTAAGAAGTTGTACAAGCCGCATTTTGCAGCTTTCTGTATGATCCCGGGACGATTTCCGGCATAAGACTGTATTTTCTTCAGCCTTTTTCCTCCTTTCAAAGTTAACGAAAAAGAACGTTGTACTAGTTACCTAACCCAACAATTACGCATGTATCTGATATGAACATATGAACTACTGAGATACCAAATTTTTCGGTAAACTTCAACTTTCAACTTGTGGTTTATCATAAATTTCATGACTTCGATACATCTTTGTCCTTATCAAAATCATGCTTAGCATTGCGGTCAGATAATCAGATGAACTTTGGAAAGTTTCCATTAACTTCGAAAAGAGAAAAACGACTCTGAAGAAAAAGAAAGTCGGCCGATCCAGGGGATCATAGAAAAGCTGAAAAAGGCGGCTTGTACAACTTCTCGCTCCTGTTCAATATGTTCATAGCGTAGGATAGCAGGACTGTATCGTCTGTTTAAGCAGCAACCAAAACGTTATTAATTTTAATTCAACTGACCAACGTTTTGGCTTTCTCGTCTTCGTCGGAGCCTGGAAGCTCGAATGTAAAAAGACGACGTAGCAATATTTGATGGAGCCAGGACTACTAAACAGCCAATGGACCATCTTACAAAATAATAGGAACTTTTGATAAACAAATAGCGTAAAATTCAAACATCTCGAGCTTCAGGATATAAAGCTTTCTTAGGCCGCAATCTCCTCCTTGGCTAGTAGCTTAATGCATGCGGCCCATTAGCCCTTTTGAGCGCAAAGCGCATGAAAAGTTTAGTAGTGACTGTTTGTACATGTAATTTTTTTTGCATAACATTAGCAAAAGTTGCAAAAGTCCGCATTCGCTTTCCAAAGCTACATTTTTGCGAAATTTATCACATAATTTTGATTTTTGATCTCCAACAACTGATAAGCAAATTCAGATGCTTCACCGTTACGATTGGATTGGATGCGGAATGGATATCAACGAAACCGATCTGGGATTTTTTATCTGCTTCTTTGCTTAGAATCTACTCAAATTTTTAGAGTCTGTCTTCAAAGCTTATAAGCGAAAATAAAAAAAGCGTAAATGGATATGTTCATAGAATCCAAGCCAATGATTTGATATTTCATAACTATCACGGAGGAGTTCAGTCAAACGTTTTAGCAAACATGAATTTACTTATTGATTCGTAATCACTCTATCTCTACGCCTATTTAAGTACTTCTTCAGGCTTTTCTCTGACTATCGAAACGAAGCGATGTGAAGATTTGTACATAGCCCCCCTTCCCCCCCCCCCTAATTTATATTCCATAGCAGTTTTCTTGTTCGATCAGCAACAACTTTAACAATGACTTTTTACTGAGATAATTATTTGGTAAGAGACAGAGCAGAGGTCTAGCAGAGGCGGTTGTTTCTTGGTCTTCTATAATTTCCTGGGAACCTGCAGATTTATTTTTAAAAAAGTCTGCTCAGCACTCTTATATCTTAACGACATTTCCGTAGCAAACAAGAAAGCAAGTCGCGTTACATTGTTGTGCTATTTAGGACGTATTGCTGCAACTCACTGACAAGCAAGTGGAGTAGAAGCGAGGAGGGAGGGGGTGAACGCGCGTTGAACACACGTTTGATAGCTAATCTCTCGGATTGATTTCTTTTGCCGATTTATTGGTATGATTCTGCAGAGGTGGCCAACTTAGATTCAAACTATGGAGTGAATATGCCAATCTCACTTCATTATCGTAGCATTACGGTAAGCACTTCGATGAATTTTGAAACCGTATTTCCTAAGGAAGAGTAAATCAAAGTTAATTATATATGAGTTTTGTACTTTACTGTGATGTTTATTTCCTGAATTATTTCAGGTGTATCGTAACACCTGTTTTTATAATGTTTTTTAGAGATGTGATTACATCACTAAAGAGCCAAAAAAAAACTCCTGGGAAGTTGCGCGACGAAACGAGTACACCTGAAATTTCTGAAACGCAATACACATTATTCGAAGAAAGGTTTATCGAACGGCCTATTTCACAATGGTTCGGTATCCTGGAACTCCCCACCGTAATCCTACAGTAGCGAAGGGCGATCCGTAATTCGCTCCGTACTGTAAATCTGAGCGGAATCCACCTCTGTCGAATAGTACTCAAAGATCGGCAGAAGACATTATTGCAAGAAGATTGATAACGATCAAACAATGTGCACATTTTTAGGACACCCTCTATAATTATGCGACCAAGATTTTCTAGATTGCTTTTTCGTATTTATAAGTACATAACCTCACCATCGTTTTACTTTACACTACTCCAATGCAAAGGTACTGTCCATGAGCTTTCCAGTGGCTCTGGAGCTTCTCTCAAAAAGTGATTCTGCAGTACGAAAATTTTCTATTCGAAGGGGAAATATCTATAAGCCGTAACAGCCGTGTTTGTCATGTCCAGAATTTTGAAATTAGCTGAGAAACGGTTGGTTCACTTTGCTACCTAAGTACTTAAGAATTCGTGGCAAATTTATCTTTTTATCAAACCATTTAGCCATTTCGCCATTATCTACATGGGAAATAGAACAATACACGTATTTCGATGAAAAAGAAACATGATTTGTGAAAAAAAACATTCCAGTGAATATGAAGATAAGCAATTCAAAGAAAGAACGAGCCTCTGGAATGTCAGACAACACTGGCGTCAGCCATTACCTCATTTTCACAAAATAAATAAGCTTAATTATTAGGTTGTCCCATAAGTCTTTTCATTTTTGAGTTTTCGCTATAATAATTCACACACTTCTTATTCTAAATAGACTTCAGGATACCATTCGATAGAGCAAGGCAAACTCTATAAGAAGGCCTTTATGCTTTTGCACAAGCTTTGGTCCATCTCGAGTTTTGATCCAAAATCCAAAAAGTTTCGGATGGCCAGAAAACTGAAAATTTTTTATATCTTCGTTCAAAAAATCCTACAAATCTCTAACTCACCCACGGATATACATTCCACATCAGACATTCATATGTGCTGTTGCTGTATTTTTTCATTAGCTAGAAATCAAGAAACCGAAAATTTCCATGTTTTTGCAAAGTGATGCTGTGCTGTTCTTAAATTAACTGTTGTATACTACAAACCCTTAGAAATACCACCAAATTCTTGGCTCTCTATATGCTCTGGTTCAAGAGAAATATCAAATTTAGCTTTCTTCGCTCGGGTTTTTCGCGCTTAAATCAACATTTCTCGGAAACCAGAGCTTATAGAGAGCTAAAAATTTACGATTGTACTTTTAAGGACTTGTAGTATACAATAGTTAATGTAAGAACAGCACAGCATCACTTTGGTAAAAACATGGAAATTTTCGGTTT